AAAAAAAAAAAAAAAAAAAAAAAAAAAAAAAAAAAAAAAAAAAAAAAGAAGAAGAAGAAGAAGAAGAAAGAAAGAATGAAAGAAAATAGTCCAAAACGCTGGCGCACACACACGATTTCCCCGCAGTTTAGGGGAAGGAGGAGCCGCAGGACTTGCGACACCGGGCAGGCGGTGAGGGGTGCGGAGCGGCCCCCGCCCTGGGGAGGAAGGGAGGAGAAGTTTGGCTTCCACCTGGCTGCGGGAAGCGCCCGGCGTGGGCAGGGAGGCTGTCCCGCAGAGCGCTGTCCCGCGTGGGGCCGGGAGAAGAGCAGCGGCGGTGATTGAGACGTCCGTCTCCCGGGGCCGGGGGATGCGGGGAGAGGGATGGGGCTCCCGGGCGCGGCTCCGCGCCGCCGGGGGGGACGCCGGCCCTGCCCAGCCCAGCCCAGCCCAGCCCAGCCCTTTGGTCTCCGGATTTGAAGTGCTGGCTCTCCCAATTTCATGCGGATTACCAGCCTCGGACCGGGACACACGCAGCTTCAACCCCCAACTCCCCCTCCCCACCGGTGGTTTTGGGTTTGGGCTCTTTTTCCTTTTTTTTTTTTTTTTTTTCTTTCCCCCTCTTTTTTTTTTAACTTCACGTGACAAAGAAAGTGAGTGACTTTTAAGAAATAAATTTGAAGATAACGACATTAAAGTGAATGGCAGGAAGCACAAAACTGCCTGAGCATAGGTCAAACGGCATTAGTCACAGGTTTTATCCTGAGACATTAGAATTCCCTTTCTCTTAAATGATCACTGCCTTTGAAAAGAAACTTCCAAAGGAGATCACTTAAAATAAGATCCTTTCGTCTGATTTCTTGGTTTCTTATGGTCTATCTTCCCTTTCAATAGATGTCTAGTCCCTTTTGCCGTGGTGCTTAAGGAATTCTTTATGAGTGTGCTCAGACGCATCACAAGGAACCGGGTCCACGCGTGCCCCAGCATGCGCTTGACCCAACCTTCCAGAAAATGTCAGCCCCTCTTTTTTAAAACCAGAGAAATTAGCAGCAGTTGGTCTATAGTGAGGCAAAATGCCCCCAATGTATAAGTAAAGAAAGGAGTAAATCATCTCAAAGGAAACGTATAATGACTGTAAAAAACTAAGTGTTCTCGGAACAGCCCGGGCGGAGCTCGCTTGGGGAACGCCGGGATCGCGGGGCGGCTGCGAGAGGGTCAGGGAGCAGGGGACGGAGATGGGACCCGGGGGCTAGCGGGGAGCCAGGTAATTATCTTACTGGGAAAGCCCCGTTTGCTTTTTCCACTCGCTGCACAACACCTCGAGGGCAGCGCTGGGCATGGCCGGGTTTGGGATGAGCCCGGAGCGCTGTGGGTGGGGGCGAGGGGAGCGCTGAGCCCGCAGCAGGGTGGGGCAGACCCCGCTTCTCCCCCACCACCAGCGACACCGCGGGGCCTGGACGGGGCGGGGGGCAGGTGGCAGGGACCCCTCCGCACCCCCGAGCCCGCTGAGTCTGCCCACGCCTTCCTACCCTTTTTTTTTTTCTTTACCTGCTAAGCATCAAGATTAACAAAACTAGGGATGGAGGGGAGGGGGGGGGGGGGGGAACCTCCGGCGAGGTTTTATTTCAAAGTGATGCTTTCAGACAGCGGACCTTCCAAGTCAGCCTTCTGCAGGTGCTCGTCTGCTGGGGGCCGGCGTGCAGCACCGGGAAAGCTTGTCAGGATCATACAATTTCGAGGGCTGATTCCGTCCTCTCCAATAAATAACTTTTTGATTTGAATCAAGGGAGAGGTTTAACAGACTTTCTTTCTTCCCTAATGTGATATAAATCGCAGATGCACTTTTATTGAATGGTTAAAGCATCGACATGGAGATAATCAACACAAAACGTCCGGACAAAAACCATCGAGAGAAATAAAGCTGGTTAATAAGATTTTTGAGAAAGCTTTGTGTTAAAAAGTAAAAAGGGAAAACAGCTGAAGGTGACAGTTAGTTCATGGTTAATAGGATAAAGGCTGCATGGTTGAGCTGCACACTTCTGCTTGCAAAGGTTCAGACACACCAAAGGACTGAATAGGGTGCTTTTAAAACATAGGACATTTAACACATCTGTTATAGTCTTTAACAGAGAAATCAGGTAAAATCACTCTCAGTAGTTGCTTTCATCATCCACCTCCAAAGGAAACTAACTACACTTGCGTCTATTTCCATATTTGCCACCACAAACAAAACCTCTCTGCCAGAAAAATCCCGATTTGCTGCTTTTCCCTTAGACGATGTCATTTTTCCCTCGCACCGAAGTCAGGGGACTCCGGGCTCTGCTGCACTGAGCCAACACACCTTCCGAAACCCTGCACATGCCCGCAGATAAAAAGCGAGACCAGGTGAATTTGGCTGCTTCGAGTCATCGACACCGCCAAAACCGAGAGCAGCTCAGGCAACTTCAGCCAAAAGGACCCAAATGCTGCAAGGTTTATTTTTAATGTAGACAGGCAGCAGACTGAGGACCCGAGGGGGTTGTTCTGGTCCCACAAAGCTGTTCAGGTCTCTCCTGTGTGCAGTATTCGGATTTTGTGGGAGCAGAGTCCTTATCGGCCACACCAAGGCTCACATTTCGGGTCGGTCTGGGCAAGACCCTCGCCTGAGCACACGTACACAAGACTTTTATGAAGCTCGGATCTTGCGAGGAGAGGCTGACACCGCAAACACGCTTTATTCCGGACCTTTGACGCGCAGATAGATAAATAACCCCAGCTACACGCACAGATTTGGGCTCACGCTAATAGCAGGAGCAGAAGACGCTCAAACCATAGCGGGATCCGCTCTCGCAGTATTTTTCCCCTTCAACAGAGCTTAGTTCCACGTTTTCTAATTTGTATTTTCAAATTCACAAAACCCGTGCTTTTCTAAGAGCCCACAGATAAGTTTATATGAATATTTATTGATTTATTTCCTAAACTCAGCAGGGGAGCGGCAAATAAATTTAGTGCTTTCTTTAAATAATTCCCTTTCTACGAGGCAAGATGTCATTCGAAACTTTTAAATAGGCATTTAATTAGCCTGTGTGTGTTGCCTCTGAACAAAACCCTGCTGGGAGCCTTTGGAGCGCTGTATTCCAAAGAGGCGGTCAATATGCAAAATTGATGACTACACTTTCTTTGTGGCGGGGCCATTGTGCCCCGGTTGCTTATGAAGTCTAATCCAATCATAAATTGCAGCCCCGGACCAATGGAGAAGCCGGGAGCTCGCCCTGAATGAAGCTCAAGTGGAGAACTTTGTTGAACCCCATTGTTGGGGCTGTCACTTTTGAAAGAGCCTCAGCGGGGCTGACCACTATAAAACCCATGGTCCAGGAGGAAGGGGCAGAGAGAACCCCGCCAGACTCGCTGGCTGGATCTTTACCAACCCAGGTTCGCAAAGCAGAAAACAAAAGCAAACAAACAAACAAACAGGCGAGCGGCCCCAGCCCGGCTCCGCGGACGGCCGCTGCGATGATGTTCCCCAGCCTCATCGCCCCTCCAGCCGTCTACCCCAGCCTCCTCCGGCCGACCCCCACCCTCACCTTGCCTCAGTCGCTGCAGTCAGCGTTTTCCAGCCATTCCAGCTTCCTAGTGGAAGACTTGATCCGGATCAGCAGGCCCACCAGTTACCTGCCCAGGACTGCCCCCCCGCCCAGCATGTCCCCCCCGACCTCGGCGGCCAGGACGGACTCAGGGACGCCGGAGCTCCCCAGCTCCACCACCGCCGGCTCCAGGAGGATCTGTTCGCCGCAGACTTCCAGCAGCGACTCCACTTTCCTGAAGTTTGGAGTCAACGCCATCCTCTCCTCCGCCCCCCGAGCCGGTAAGCGGGGGGGAACACCCCGAGCCCCGCCGCGGGTCGGCGGCTCCGGGGACACGCTGCCTTGCAGGAGGGGTTGACGGGGATGGGGGAAGAAGAGGGAGCTTTAGAAAAAGGGAGGTAGGACCCAGTCCTGAGCTGCAGAGCCCTCCTGCATCGCTCGTGTTTCACGGGCGAGGGGCAGCGCTGGCGGGCGGCCGGTCCCGCTCGGCAGCAGGACGGAGGAGAGGGGCAGGGCGAGGGGTGCGGGGGGGATCCCGGAGAAGAGAGGTCCCACAGCCGTGTCTCCCGGCTGGCCCTGCCCTCACGGGTGCCGCGTTGCTGGCAAAGCCAGCAAAAGTGCCATTTTTCCCGAGCTCAGTCTGGCTCTTTTTTAATTTTTGAAAAGTACCACTGCGTTGGTTCCCAGACCAAGGGACAGACCCATCCGTGCCGTCGGTCGAGTCCAAACGGTGGTATAACCCCACGCTTAATTTAATTTGATTTATTTACTAGAAACCTCCCCTGCGCTGCTTCAGAGCGTCCCGCCAAAGACTTTCTCCTTTCCGTACTTTGAAGGATCCTTCCAGCCCTTTATCAGATCTTCCTATTTCCCAGGTAGGTGTTCTAAAAGTCTCCCTCTCTCCAGGCGCAGCCCGGCGATATTTCTCCGTCCCCCCCTCTGCTCGCCCCGCCGGGGTTATGCTCCAGTTCAGAGGTTGGAGGGAGTACAACATTCAAGCATCAGTCGCGCCAATTTGCTGCCCGATTTAGCACAGGCAGTGGCTGCCTGACATTCCCTGCCCGCTCCCCCCGCTGATCCGCAAATTAGCCGGGATTGTCACGGTGCTGAGGCGAGGCGGGTCCCCTCTCTCCCTCCTTTCCTTCTCCCTCCCAGTGCTGAGCCCCGGGATTTCAGCACCACGAGGAGCGGTCAGCGCCTGCCGCCCGCGCTCCGCGCCCGCGCAGGGAGGGAGGGGGAGAGGGAGGGAAGGAGGAAGGGAGGGAAAGAGGGAGGGAAGGAGGGAGGCGGCCCGGTCCCCGCCGTCCTGTGTGTCCTCCAAACTTTCCGCCCCCGGCTGGGTTGCAGGAGGATCCGTCGCACTGCGAGAACGGCGTGACTGCTCTCGCCCTCCCCTCCATCACCCCTCCACCTCGCACTAACCCTTCCCTCCTTCACCTTCCCGGTCAGACCATCAAACAACATGGTGCAGGCTACGGGGGGATGATTCTTACAGCACTGAAGTATTACGATACTAGGAGAACAATTTAAAAAATAATAAAAAAAACCCACCCCGAAATCTAATTACACAAACAAGCTATTAATTTAAAAAGAAAACAGGGAAAAGGAGAGAGGAAGAAAAAATAACCCAAGCTCTTCCATTCATCCTCTGGATAATGGAATTTACTTCCTTTCTCCAGCATGTGAATAGCCTAACAAAAACAACTTGAGCTTTATAAATAGCTTTTCATGTCCATTTAATGAAAATGATTTGGGGAAAGAGACGATTGTGCCATCAGTATTCTCCCGAGGAGCCTGGCATGCCGTTGTATTTAGTTTGAAAGTGTAAATCTCTTTTGTTCCAATAATATATGGCGTTAGCTGCTTGTCCTCAGTCTTTTTCTGTTAGTTCATTACTACACAATTACCATTCACGCTTCATTAGCATCTCTGTCTCTCTTGGGGAGGTTCCCCCCTCCCTTTTTTTTTTTTTTAAGGCGAAACTCTGCCCTTTTTTATCATACTAATGCCATTGGGAACCAGGCAGTGTGCTAATTAGCTGTTACTTTTCATGTCTTCGAATTGAATTCTCCAACTTTGGGAGGTGGGGGGGGGTGGGGTAGAGAAGAGATTATTATAAAAAGATGAATGCTGATTGATCAAAACTGCATCTGAAGAGGAGCGGTTTTGTTCGGAATCAGAAAAGTCCTCATTTTCATCTCGAGCGTAATAAAGCATCTGAAATGATAAAAGCATCTGAAAAAAAAAATATCAAATGCTTCTGAGCGGGAGGGAAAGCTTTTTTATTATACCTCTATCTTAGCTGGTACGCCTCGCTTTGCCTTTTCAGGCCGGAGACCTTTGAATCTCCCAACAAAAACGGCCACTATTGATCCATTTTACACATTTGAGTTGATAGATCTAATCCCGGCCATCGCCGCCTGAAAAGGCGGGCGCTTAGTTAAGCCTAAAGCTTCTTTTCACGCCCCAGGTTGATGAGTGCCCGCCCGAAGGGCAGGGAGGGGTCTGCTCTGCTCAGTGCTCTGTGTCCCTCCCACAGCTGCCTCTGCCGTGGTCCCCATCCCTGGCACCTTCTCCTGGCCTCTGGCTGCCCGCGGGAAGCCCCGCCGCGGGATGCTGCGCCGCGCCGTGTTCTCCGACGTGCAGCGCAAAGCGCTGGAGAAGATGTTCCAGAAGCAGAAATACATCAGCAAACCCGATAGGAAGAAGCTGGCAGCCAAGCTGGGCCTCAAGGACTCACAGGTGAGAGGGGGCACCGGGTGGGGAGGGCAGAGGGTGTGTGGGGAGCACGGGAGGAGAAGGGGATGGGAGCAGGGAGAACACCCTCTCTTAGGGTCCCCCAAAGATCAGATTGTGTGGTTCCTGTTAGCTTTGGTGCGGACATGTGCAGGGTTTCAAGAGTGCAAGCCAAACACTTTCCTGGTCCCTGTTTTACTGAACCACTTCAATTCTTTGTCGCTCTGACCCCTAGGTGAAGATCTGGTTCCAGAACAGGAGAATGAAATGGAGGAACTCCAAAGAGAGGGAGCTCCTCTCTTCAGGTGGCTGCAGAGAACAGACCCTGCCTACCAAGTTCAACCCTCACCCAGACCTCAGTGACGTGGGCAAGAAGTGTTCAGGCGAGGAGGAGGAGGAGGAAGTTCCCCCCGTGTGCCCACCCAGCCCTCGGCATTCCTTAACCTACCACCAGTCCCCAGAACATCTACACCTGAGGGACAGACTGGACTCCCAGATATCTCCTTCACCATCCCATTCTAGCAGCCCCAGCAAACCTTCAGACTTCTCAGACTCTGAGGAAGAGGATGATGAAGGAGAAGAGGAAGAGGAGGAGATAACTGTCTCTTAGATCGCTTGCCTGCCCCTACCGTCACGAGGGGACACTGCAAAGATGTAAATAAAACAGAGTGCTATAAATTGAAGAGGTGATGTCCCACCCCAATGTCCACATGCTTCTTCAGTGCAGGTTCCTTATCACATGGCTGCAAGCCTTCGTACTCACTAGTATTCCTTATTTGTTGCCCCATGGGGAGGTTTTCACATTCATAGTATCTACCAACCTTTTCATAACTCTCTCTGCTTAACAATCAATATTTGCTCAATTAGTTTACCACCTCCCAAAAAAAACCCAGGCAACAGGCATCTCCTGGCTTTACAGCAAGGAGGGAAGTATAGCCTGTTGGAAGGGGAAACCTTTTCCCCCTGATAAGGAACATCAAAAAAAATTCAATACAGATGCTGTGGCCATTTTTGCTACCTTTCAAGTGAATTTCCAGATGCCATTAAGATATCAAAACCCTGAAGGCTGGTCTGATCTAGCAGCCCTTTCCTCCTAAAGTAAATAACACTGAGGGACACAGACCAAGCGCTGCCTCCCTCCTCACACCAAATAGCACCATACGTGTGCATCAGATCCATTGAAATCCCTGGAATGACTTCTAAGGTATAAAGTGAATGTGCCTTGTGTAACAGAAATCTTAAATATTTATGTTTTTCATTTTAATTTATGCCTCAATATTGTATTCAAGGCACTGTCTAACCCACCTTTTTGCCCACAAGCTTGTGATTATATTCCTCTTTGCTTCTGCTATCCATGGTGTGGACAGAGGAAAGTGGATGCACCTCTTTGATTTTTGACTGAACTTTGCTGTCTTTGCACAGCTTTTATGAACTGTACACTATTTTGTACACTTACTCTGTATGGATGTTTTATACCAAGGTTATTGTGAATGAATATAACAACGGCTCAGCAACGCTTCTCCCCCCCTCCTTTTTTTTTAATTAAATGACAGCTAAACTACAGATGAATGTAGCTGTTTAATTGTGTAACTTATAAAGAAACACTTTTATTTTGTATTTTACCTTGTACAGACTTTAAATATGTATATATATTAAAGTGGGTGATGGTCAAATAAAAGAAATGTAGATTTACAAATTTGATCGTTCAGTAACACTTGGTTTGGGTTAACAAGTTGTTGTAGCTTGTGTCTGGGAAAGAAAACTACTTTTTACCAACGTGTGGTGATTCAATAAGAATTCATCAGTTTCAAATTAAGTAACTTTACAAGAATATCTACCTGCCTTTCAACCAAAGGACTGAAGATTTTCTGCAGTTAAAATGCAGTTGCATTTAAAAGCAGCTTCATTTGTGCTCTCCTCTAAAGGCCTTCTGACCCTCCTCCTTCATCCCAGTTACAGCCCGGCTGGGTCAAGGTGTGGACACTTAGTGACACACCCCTGACTACAGTTTGTAGACTGGGAGCATGTAATTAGACTGTTCCTGGAGGGCAGGCAAACAGAGTGAAAGAGATGCACTGGGGACAACTCTCCGGCCTTAAGATCAGTCAAGGATCACTGCTACAACACAAGGCAAATCCATAACCAACTACCTGCTTATTCCTGTTAGATACTAATGAACACTACAGAAATGTCAGTGTTATCATACAGATAGCAGAGTTCTTCTCAAACAGAGGCTTCATTGGAAAACAAATGTATTTTCTGCTCCGTAGTCTCTGAAACCCGCCGTTCACACACACCAAAACAACAGAAACAAATGCAGCAGATGTCACCTGGACACAACTACTCCTGCGTGCTCCACTGCACTGCCACAGCCCCGAGGGAAGGTGTGAGAGGAAGAAGAGAATGATTCTAGTTGGAAGGGACCTACAAAAATCATCTAATCCAATTCTGATCACTTCAGGGCTGGCCAAGAATCACAGCACATCACTAAAGGTCATTGTCCAAAAGCCTCCAAAACACTGCCAGGCACAGGGTACAACCACACTCCCCACCCAGAAAACCAGTTCCAGGTCTTTAATTACTTTCCAATTAGGTAATTGGACACACCTAAGCTGGGACACATAGTGACACTCATAGTTTTCTACCTCTCTGACACCTTAAAGCCATTAGTAGTTGATAATATACACTTGAGACAGGGTAAGTAGAATGGAAAAAAAAAAAATGGTGAAAGCACCAACAGTATTGATCCCACACATATAACACAGCCAAACAGCAAAAGGGTTTGTTGGGTTTGGTTTTGTTGTGTTGTTGTTTTGCAAAAAAAATATTTTCCTAAGCATACCTAAAACTTCACTCAAATATGCATTAAACTGGTGCAATCTCAACCACGGTCAAACTAAAAGGCTGATACATGCTCAACAATGGTGTATATACCGAAAAAATGTGTTATTATTCATCTGTTGGCTCTTTAAGTGATAAAACACTCAATGGCAATAATTTATAACTTACAATTAACTAGTCCAGTATCACAGTTTAACCCCAGCCAGCAGCCACTTTCTCACTCCCCCATCAATGGGATCAGAAAAGCAAAAAGTGGAAACTCTTGGATTGAGATTAAGAGTTTAACAGGGAAAGCAACCACCACGTACACAAGCAAAGCAGCAAAAGGAATTAACTCACTGTTTCCTGTGGGCAGGCAGGTGTTCAGCCATCTCCAGGAGAGCAGGGACCCATCACATGCAGCAGTTCCTTGGGAAGACAAACATCAACACACCAAACACCATCCTCTTCCTCTTTCTTCTCCAAGCTTTATATACTGAGCACGATGTCACATGGTCTGGAATATCCCTTCGGTCAGTTGGAATCACCTGTGCTAGCTGTGTCTCCTCCCAGTCTCCCAGGCACCCCTTACCAGTCACTGGGAAGAAAATTAACTCTACCCTGGCCAAAACCTGCACATCCAGTCAGCATAAGACTATAGTTAAGTAACTTAGAAAGGCAGATCTACTTTAAAACATATTTTGTTTTGTAATCCAGTGGCTGCTCCAGAGACCATAGGCACCATCACACATACTAAAACACTCAAAAAAGGAATATGTTCCTTCCTCATGCATAACCTCTCCTGGTTCACTGTTCAACAGAAAACTGCTGACCTTCTTCTTGTACCCTCTGCTCTTTACAGTTTATCTGTTCTAAGAACATTATCAAAAATAACTACTTAATACTGCTTCTTTTACCACGAGGGCTATTACATCTTATGCTGAGAGACAAACAGCCTTACTAAAGGAAAAATAATATGGAATTGTCATTTCACATTTACCCAAAATGTTACATTTATTAATCTTACTCTTTTTTCTTTTCCCCTTTCAAGGGGCTTTGTTTGTTTGTTTGTTTGTTTTTTTAATGGCAAAAAGAACATTGTGTGACTACTAAGGACAACCATTTGAGATTCAGGAGTACCTTGCTATGAAATGAAAGGGCTAGGGTTTTTTTTATTTATTTACCAACAGCTGCCACACACTGCAGGAAGAAGATTTCCTTCTCCAAGACCTCCCTTTCATACCCTGGATGAGGAATCCAGAGCTCACAGCTGCCATGGGATGGCTCACGGGGCACAGCTGTGCCAAGGGAAGTACTAAAGAAGCAGCCACCCTTTCCAGGTCTTATGTCAAAGGCATAAACTTTTACTCTTTTACCTCAAATGTGGAGAGATTCTAGTCCCAGCAGGAGGATCTAATGGCATTGGGAGTTCAGCTTGGGTGTATTTCTGAGAGCAAAATGCTTCATAATGTGCTGTTAACGTGCAGAGCGTTTGAGTCCTGTTACATGAAACTAGCTCAGCTCTCTCTCTCTCTATTTTTAATGCATCCCTCTGTATGATTTGGGAAAGGAGGAAAGGTGCTAAGAAGCCTTTCCTGCCTTCATGGAGACGGAAGGATTTCTGTAATGAGTAGCAGTATCCACAGTTTTGGAAACTCTGGTAATCCTGTGTGTAATACACTCCCTAACAACTGCTGCTTTCTGATATTAAAATGTCCTTTTGAAAGACCCAGCAACCTAGAGGGGTCTTATAAGTCTTTTCTTTCTTCTCGGAGCCAGGAGGGAAATCTCTGAAACTTGGAAATGGCTAAGGCAGAGAGAGGGATTTAACTTTGGTGACTGCGAGCTCAGGGCAGCAAATTCTCAATTATTTTATCCCTTAAGAAACCAGCTGGTTCAACATCTGTGCCTGCTGTAACTCCAATCTCCCCCAGCGTGGGAGAATGGCCTTTGGACTCACGAGAACTTCTTGCTTCATGGTTAGATAAAGCCAGGACACACACAGGATTACTACAAGATATCAGTGGAATCACAGCATGCCAAAGGTGTAAATACACGGTGTGCAGACAGAGCTTGTAGAAATTGCACCAGAGAATTCCACTTTTCCATTGCAGGAAGGAAATCAGCACCGGTCCTGTGGCGCTGAGAAATGATGAGGTGGATCCAGGAAGGATATAAAATAAGAATAAAATAGGATGTTGGAAACAGAAAAGTAGGAGAGTAAAGGTTAAAGAGAAGAGGAGGCAAACGAAAAAAAAAAAGTCAAGATGACTGTACAAGACAGTGTACAAAGAGCAGAGAACAAGAATGTGGAAAAGGGACAGGGCAGCCAAAAAAAAGGAAAGGAAAAAGCATTCCTGAGAGAGATTAAGAATTTTGGTGCAAGACCAGTATGGACCCAAACATTATTCAAGATCAGGGCTGGAGCATCCAGGACCAATTCTAAACCATGCAATTCTGTGAATCAGAGGGAGTTTACAGAATAAAAAAAAAAATGTGCTTGAGCATGTCCAAAGCAATTCTGCCTCTGGGAGACTGCTGGGGAGGACAGACAAAGCCCACACTACACATCAGCTCTGAGTTACAGCCGGCACTGCTGTGTTATACTCTAAAAAGAGTATTTTTAGATTAAAATAACCTGAATGCAGATCATCAGATTTCAGCAGAACTACTTCTCTTTCAGAACTTTTTTTTCCAAGCTTTTTATAGGTGAATCTGTCTTACAAACATTTATGTTCAAACGAGTGAGTAGTGGACAAGATAATTACCCAGAACTGTCAAAAAAGCAGAAACATAGAGAGAATAAGTCTCCAGGGGAAAAAAAAAATATTGCTACTGTTGAGAATTATCCCTGACAGTGCAGAGGTGTTTGAGTTTATCCTTTCTGAACAGAGAGCACTTTTACTTCACTGTTTTTAGTTAGAGCAGAGTATTTATTTGAAACAAAGGATAATAGTTCCCTTAGTTTCCCTCATGTTCTTACTGGCCAATGTGTATTTATTGCTGTATAATCATAATGTCTCTATCACATGAGTGAAGAGGATACTGCAATACTGTGTGGAATGTGTAGGTTGTCCAGAGAGGTGGTAGATGCCCCTGGAAACATGGACAGACCAGTCTTGTCTTGAGCAGATCTCGATGGATTCTGTGTCCAAACATCAGCTATGGGAGAGAATCTATTGGTGCCATCTCTCTGCTAATTTTCCTCCTGGATGTGGGGAAGAGCTGTTGGCATCTCCTCACAAGTACTTTCAAGAAGCCAACAAAACCAAGGAGTGAAACCCACAATCTTCAAACAAAAAATCAGAAAGTGGTGATTAAGGAGGGATAAAAAGTTCTAGGAAGCCACAAATCTGAATAAATAAGCATCAATTTTATTGAATCATGAATAATTTAAGACTGGTACAATCATCAGCTTTATTCTCCATGACACGGGGGAAGGTGGGGAAGGGGGAGAAATGGGGA